ATATATATATATATAATTAATATATAATATAATATATATATATTTTTTTCTATATGTATTTATTTGTGTGTTTATTTATTGTTATGTACATATATATATATAATGGATATATTAAGATATTAAGATATTAGGATATTAAGTTATTAAGATGTTAGTATATTAACATATGAATATATTACTAGGTATTAATTACTTAATTATTTAATTATTAAAATATTCATTACTCAATCAATCAATCAACCAATCAATCAATCACTCAATCAATCCATCGATTGATTGATTGAATGATTGAATGATTGAATGATTGATCGATTGATCGATTGATCGATCGATTGATCGATTGATTGATTGATTGATTGATTGATTAATATAAAGAAAAAAATATATATATATATACACACATATATATATATATACACATATACATATACATACATATATATATATATATTTATTTTGATATTGTGCGGCGTTTGGAGTTGAGCTGCGTTTACATGGGCTTTCCTATCCGGAACGCTTGGTTCGTTTCTTCAACCGTTTGTTTCGTTTCCCACCCGTATATATATTTATATATATATGTATATATATATATACAGATATAGATATGTATGAAGGATTGATTGGTTCGTTTCTTTGGCTCCTGCATTTTTGTTATGACATAGGCCTGCTTTAGCAGCTTTTAGGGTTCTTGCCTAGTCATTACTGCTGTTCCGCAGTTAGACTCGCTGATTCACTTCAGTTCACGAAGTCATCCTTATTCACTCGCTGTCATTCTCTCATGTCTCGTAGATGAAACTGAACCGCGAAGTCGTTCACTCCTGCAGTCACTGACTGCGTGGACCGGGACTAGACTGTGGAACTTGTGCTTCTCGTCGTGCCGCTGCAAGCCAAGGCAGTTCACCTCTCCGGCGATTCACCGCAACCAGCTGGCGACAACAAAAAGTGGGTGGGATCGTCGGACTTGCGCACAGTTTACCACGACGACGACAGCTACAACTACAACGACAACGACAACTACGTCAAAAGAACAACTCTACTACTACTACTACTCCTCCTCCTCTACTACTACTACTACTACTACTACTCCTCCTCCTCCTCGTGCTCTGCTCCTGCTAGTACTGCTGCTCCTGCTGCTGCTGCTGCTGTTGCTGCTGCTGCTGCTGCTGCCACGGCCACGGCCACGGCCCCAAGCACCCAAACCCCAGACCTCAAGATCCAACGTGAGATGCGCAGAGCTTGGGAATCCTGCCTGGCACCTGAGGCCTTTAGGGCTTTAGGGCATTGGATTGGGCTCTAGGGTCGAAGGTCAGCATTTTTCGGTGTTGAGCCACGAAGGAACGACACCGGAAATCCTTGAGTCGGAGTCTGCAGACCTCCGGGATTTTTGCGTCTCTACCTAGCTGTTCTGATCGCCCGCCTTCCTGCTTGCAGCTTGCAGAAGTCCATGAGAGGAGGCATCCCTAAAAAAGCCAAAACCCCAACTCCGAGACCTTTGAGAACTCGGCCTTAGCCTCCCTGGCAGTGCCTCAGCCTTGAACTTGAACCCCCAAACCTTGACAAGACTTAACAACATCATGACAGCATAGGCTTTTCAATCGCCTTTAAGCCTTTTGAGCCACACCGCGAGCTCTACATCCTGAAAACCGGATCAACCCTCTAACAGCCCAAAAGCCCTCAACAAAAGCCACACAAAAAAATAGCCCAGCCTCTAGCCTTTCAAGTTCCCCCCTCAGCCTCCCTTGGGGCAAAGGGCCTCTATTAAAAAAGAGGGCTTCTCATGGGCCCCTGAAGATGGCTGTGGCGGTGCCCGGAGTCGTCGCCCCAGGGGTTCTTCTGCTTTGGGCGGGGCTCCCAAGCCCCGGTTGTGCTGACAGGTTTGTTGGAAGTTTTTATGTGTTTGTTTGGGCGATTTGAGTTCGGTGTCTTCTTTGTCCTTCCCGGGACTTTATATGTTTTTTTTTTTTCGGTTTGGGGTTTGGTTTGGGGCTGTGGTTGGGCTTTTGAATTTGGCCTAAACTATAACGAGCCCAGGCAGGCGACTCACCATGCGGCGCCTGCTCTTCCTCCTCGGCTTGGCCGTCGGAGCCCCAAGCCGCAGTGGCTTTGCTTGGCTGCTTGGGTTCTCGGCGTTGTAGGGTTAGGGTAGTTATATATGGGGTTATAAGTATAAAGTGACTATACTTCTAAGCCATGTAATAAGGGGACTTATAACCCCACTTATAACTACCCATGAACCTCCAAGTAGGGTTAGGGGTGTGTATTTGTTGGGTTCGCTTTTTTCGGGTCTAGGGTTTTTGGGCTGTAGGGTTTAAGAGTACGTTATGACGCACACATAACCGTAAAGCAC